TACAAAGAATTTTTTAGATGAAAATATTTGTAGTTAAGACTACTAGAAATCTTATTTATGGAGTAAAAAGGCGAAAAGACTGGAATTAGGGGCATGACTGGTATTAGGGGCTTCCACCCTAATTCGGTAAAAAGTATCTAAGTAGGTATTAATATACCTACTTTTTATTATAAACTAAAATTTTTTAAAACTAAATTTAACAAAAAAAAAACTAAAGTGACCATTTATTTTTTAACTCAAAACAGGACATGGGTTTATTTATACTCTAAAAACTATAACTTTACACAATTTTTAATATCATTTTATAGTGTTCAATATAAAATGATATTCGCTATAGACGGTAATTATTAAATGCAACATATTTTTTTAATTATTAATTACATTTGTCAGTGGATTAAATTTGCTTTAATAAAGTTGGTGATAATTTTAAATAAGAATAAAATTCTGCTTAAGTTTTTTTATTGTTACCTTTGTTAACAACATCGCCTTTAGAACTGGAACCGTAAGTGTTTCTTTCAGCCGTCCACAATTTATTCAAAATAAAAAAATACTCTTTCTACTGGAGCATTTGTACCAGGGAGACATAAAATATATTCGATTAAAAAAAATTATGTTGAAGATTGTTGACTTTGAATACTTCCATCCAACGTGTTACGGGATAATTTTGTGTCCCGGAGCTTTGTTTGGGGACAATGGGACAGGTGACCGAGAAAAGGGACAGTCCCGTTTAAAACGGGACGTATGGTCACTTTAGCTATAACCCGGCGACGGCTCCGTGGCGCAGTGGCTTAGCAATCAGTTGCTGCGCTGGGGTCCGCGGGTTCGAATCCCGTACGGAACAAGTATTTGTATGGCCTACTAATAATTGTTCCGGGTCTGGATGTTTGTCCTTGTGCAATTTATGTTTGTAAACTGCCTCCACGACTCTCATTCTATATTACTCTCACTCTGCGAAACATCCTTTTTATTTATTTATTTTTTATTGCACCAAATGTTTGTACAAAAGGCGAGCTATCTATCTATTTACCTATAGTGAGTAGGTATCTTTTAAACTCACAATTTTCAATGCTTCATTTTTAATATATAATTAATTATAAAATTTCATAATTAGATAATATATGAGAATACATAATTCTAATATAATGCAACTAATATACCGAATAAAAAAATTTAGATACATTTATCGTTGTACGCTGTGTGTATTTCCATAAAATAGTTTATTGATGTTGAAAAAATACTACGTTCTTACAGTAGGTGGCGCCTTACATATTTCTTACGCGATATTATATTGTAGCGAGTCGGCGCGGCACATCAAATACTCAAGGTCGTTCGCATGGAGTAGCTTTAAATTAAAAATAAAAATGCTTTGGGTTTTCCGTGAAATGTTTCATATTTGTGGCGGTTGTGATTAAGAAGGCGAATTTAATGTGCTCTTTGAATACTTGTACTTGTTGAATATGTTTTTGTAATTGTATTTGATCATTGTGTTTGCTTTGTTGAAAAGAAAATTGAAATTGAATAACCCTATTTGTGTCGAATATATAACTTATTTCTAGACGCGATAATTTTTGTCAACTATTTTTCTGCCATTGCTCTTTGATAGTTATTGCAAAATAACCCTGTATATAGCGGATAAATACTTATATAGTAGCACGACAAATGAGTAAATTAACTTATAATATCTATAATGTACCTAATCATTCTGTTAGTAAAAGCCACAGTCTGATAAGAGGGCGTTTTAGAGTAGAATTCTTAAGTTTAACTTGCGCAACGCGTCCCATACCATCTCTACCAATATACAATTTAGAGACAACGCCTAGAGGCTACTGAAGTGGTGGGGTATTATCCATTTCTATAAGAACGACTGTTCCTACGGAAAAGACATTACCATTCTAATTTCACTTTGCCCTACTCTGTAATATGTGTATTGAAATCTAAAGCATTTCCATAAAGGATTGAACTAAAGAATCTATTAAAGAAAAGCGTGATAACAGATTGATACGTTCTTTACTTAAATTAGCGGCTGGTAAGAATTCAAGCGGTTTTAAATTTAGGAAGTTTGCGGGCTGAGTGCTAGAATTTAAGATACACTCCATTTGATAGAATGTAGAAAGCATTTCCGCATACGTGAGGATTTGCTTACTTATTACGCAAAACAAATGATTTTTTACAACCTTAATATTGAATTCCCATAACCTCCCGAAATATGGAGCGTTTGGAGGGTTGAGTTTCCTAACAATGCGATTATCAGTGAGCATGTGATTGAATGTCTTATAATATTCTTCAGAATGTAAAAGCAATGTAATTTATTTAAATATAATCGCGAGGCGAAAAAATTTGTACCGTTATCGCCATATACGTTACTTGTACAAATTTACCCGGGACTCTCCGAGAGATAAATTTCTTAAAGGCGTCTGAAAAATTCTAAATGCACTGCCTTAGTAATAAGGCATACAGCATAAAAAAGCCTTCTGCCTGCGTATACCACGCTTACACGTCAATGTAATATAGAATGGTCCTGAAAAATCCACATCTGTGTGGGTAAAATTTACCCATTTAATGCACTACTCTGCTCTAAGCGGTAAGCAGGCAAAGTGTACATCATAGGGTAAGTAGGTTTAGATTTATATCTAAAACAGATTTTTACATGAATGCGGTATCTTACTACGCGGCGAGCTGATAATATCCAAAATTTCTCAAGTAATGCGGCAACGCGTGAAAACTCTTATAGTGATAATAATGAATAATATGTCCCTTTTTTGGTAGCAATATTTTGTGCTTTTAAGAATCCGATATAGATGCCACCCTAATCGAAGCAGACCGTCCGCGATAAATGGCGATAACCGGCGTAATGTTGGTGAGCACGGTTTCCCCATTTTAATATTTTTTATATCTTCAGCAAAAGCGATTTCTGAAATCTCTATGTCGGACGCTGTTATATTCATGTTATATTCATTCATACTTGGTAGAGTATATTAATAGTATAGTTGTCGCACGAATGGATCGGCTCGACCGGGGAAAGTCCACGCTCTCACAGAATACCAGCGTAAATCATCATCATCATCACCATCATTACAGCCCTTCATAAGTCCACGGTCCTGAGCCACCTGCATCCATAGACTTCCTGCGTGTTTTACCAGGTCGTCACTCCATCTAGTGGGCGGGCACACTTCTTCTTCGCATACCGGTACGAGGCTGATTTTCGAGAACCTTTCTTCCCCATCGGTTGTCTGTTCTTTGAGCTATATTGCCGGCCCATCGCCACTTCAGCTTACTAATCCGTTGGGTTATGTCGGTTACTCTGGTTCTACAGCGGATATCCTTATTTCTAAGTTAATCACGCAGAGAAACTCCGAGCATAGCTCTCGCTATAGCTCGCTGAGCGACCTTAAGTGTCCTCATACGGGCAGCAGTGAAGGATCACGTCTCATATCCATAAGTCATCACTGGTAATACGCACTGATTGTACAATCACGTTTTTAGGTTTTGAGTTATACGTGACGAGAAGATGTGTCTTTGTACAATCTGCCGAAGGGTGTGTATGTAGTTTATGGTACTAAAGCCTTTTCTGAAAACGGCTTGTGCGGGAAGCTGGACGTCGTCGAGTCTTTTTACGATTCGTAATGACTCTCGAAACAGCACGTAGACGCAGCTCAGAAGGGAAATCGGTCTGTAGTTCTTCAAGAGAGCGTTGTCGCCTTTCTTGAAGAACAAGACCACCGCACTTCTGCTCCACGCCTCCAGAGTGGTGCCACCATGGAGGACGGAATTAAAGAGCTCCTGAAGGACTTCAAATACCGGTTTTTTACCCGCTTTCAGAATTTCCGCTGTAATTCCATCCTCACTCGGCGCCTTGCCGTTTTTAATGTGCATGAGAGCCATTCTAATCTCGCTCAGACTGACGTCCGGGATATCTTCGGATTAGTGTCAGATAAGACTCGCTCTTGGGTCGTTACTCACACTTGCATGTGGCTCCAACGATTACGTGTACAGCTGTCTATAGAACCTCTCAATCTCACTCAAGTGTACCGGAAACGATGCTGCCACACTCGGTCTTCAGCTTTGACAGTTCGCTCTTTCTGGCAAAGATTTTGGAGCCTTGGTTATACTCGATCGCTTCTTCAATACAAGCTGTATTGAAGAAGCGATCGAGCTGCGCTAAGCTGCTGTAATTTGCGTAAGTCCCGCCGCATGCATTTGGAGAACATTCTGTTCAGTTGCCTCTTGTATGATGTCAAATCTGTTAAAGATTGCAGCTTCATTTCCCGTCTAACAGCCATGAGCGTAAAATAGCAGCTGTGTTTCATTTGGTGAGTGTAGAAAACCAGAGAGCCTTTTTACGGAAAAGAAGCATTCCATCTTATTCTTCACGGCTGACTAAGCGAGCAAAACTAAGGTACATTTTTTTTAAAATAACGTTACCCCCATACTAGGATTTTCTCCTGTGTCCTGGAGGCAGTTTACAAACATAAATTGCACAAGGACAAACATCCAGACCCGGAACAATTATTTGTAGGCCATACAATACTTGTTCCGTGCGGGATTCGAACCCGCGGCCCCCAACGCAACAACTGATTGCTAAGCCACTGCGCCACGGAGCCGTCAAGCGTGGCTAAAGTTATTGTTTTTAATGGGGACACCCGAGATTTAGAACAGATGAGCGTTATAATGGGAGGATTATTTCCGTTAACAACGTGCGGATTCCTACCCGGAATGAGCCCAGTACAAATAACACGAGTTGCCGCCATGAGCGTCGACGATGAAATTACCACAGACTAACCGATTCTACCGAATAAAATAACAGAGTGGAGCGGCCTGCTTCGCTCCCATGTCTCACCGCGCAGCTACTTTTGGCGCGGTACAGCGGTTGTGGTCAGACTAAATCCGGTGTCATACAAAAAACTTTTACGAGTTCGTCTTTCTCTCAGGCTAAATTTTTCACCGCACTTAGAAATAACCAAACCACTGAAAGCAGTCTAAGTAGGTTTTGTGTTGTGCAGGTGGAGTTGAAACAGAGCGTGACGTCACTGTCGGTGGCGGTGGCGGCGGGCGGCGCCAACTTCAGCGCGGGCCAGCGCCAGCTGCTGTGCCTGGCGCGCGCCGCGCTCGCGCGCAACCGCCTGCTTGTGCTCGACGAGGCCACCGCCAACGTCGACCCCAAGTCAATGCACGCATTGTATACCGCCACCTCCACAGTTACCTCAGCAAAAATTCTCTCTCTCTCTCTCTCTCTCTCTCTCTCTCTCTCTCTCTCTATCTTACCAACTTCAATTTTATAAAATAAACGCCTTTTCTTTACTGAACAGTTAATTCGTTTTAAGAGATTTTAAGACTTTTATAAATTATATAGGTATTGTTGTTAATATTTCTGAATTTGATTTCAGTACTGATGCCTTAATCCAGAAATCACTACGCAAATACTTCGCCGAGTGCACAGTGATAACTGTAGCTCATCGACTGCACACTGTCGCCGACTCCGATCGAGTCATCGTAAGTTTTGTACGAGTGTCATGCACACAACGTGAACATTCCACATAACATGTCTGATCTAGGTCGACTTTCAGTAGATTTTTTTAAACAATTAGAGCGATTGTCCACCGCCGCCGTCATCGGGACGTCAATGAGAACGAGATGACGACGCCGAGGTAGCGACACATACATTTACTATAGCCTCCTGTCCACCGCGAGCGCGTCGCTCCAACGCTGTCATTCCGGCTGCCGAAGTTTAGAGTAGATCGACAAGATTGTGACGGGCCAATATGCCGGCAATACAAAACACATTTAAACTTGTCCATTAACACCGGTGCCGTGACGTCGCACTGCACCGACGCACGAACACTACAAGTAACTGACTGAACCACCGAGATCGTTGCGGTGAACAAACGATCGCCGTCACGTCATATTGATCTCTGCCAGAAATAATCTTATTTTCGTTGACGTCCCGGTGACGGCGCCGGTGGACAAACGCCCTTAGTCAAATAATTTTAAAAAGGTCACAGTAATGTGATGATCATCTGACAAAATTTTTAGTGTATAGATTAGATGAACTTTTTTAGGAATACCACTGCTCGGACCTACGCAGTTTTGATACATGATTGCACCATATTTTTAAAGACATAAAAATAGGATATTATCAATTCGAATGTAGTTTTTATTTGTGACCAGGATTAAGAAAGGAATGCTTCGGTGGTTTGGCCATGTAGAAAGAATGAATGAGGAAAGAGTGACAAAGCAAATTTATGTTGCAGAGGTGAACGGCTTAGTCGGGAAGGGTCGCCCTAGGCGAAAGTTTATCGACCAAATTGGCGATATATTAAAAATGGGCCAAATCAAGAGTACCTTTAACCGACGAGCATGTATGCGTAGGTATATGGATGTGGACGAAGCGAGAGAGGTGTGTCAGGATCGTGCCAAATGGAAGTCCATAATCTCTGCCTACCCCTCTGGGTGACAGGCGTGAGTGTTTATTTATTTATTTATTATTATTATTTATTTTTATTTGTGTTATAACACTATGTCTTCGAGGACTAATTTGTATTTCGATTTAATGTTTCAAATTGTATTACGTAAGTAATAGAATCGTACAAACAAAATACGTACTTGTAAACGTGTTATTGTAAAACTTATGTCCTTGTTAGATTATCCCATATAATTTTTATGCAAGTAAAAAAATTGAGTGAACTGATTTCTCAGGTCATGGAAGCCGGTCAGATTGTGGAATCAGGTCATCCACACGAGTTATTACAGAAAAGTGACGGCTACTTCACCCGCATGGTGAAGCAATTGAGCCCCGCCTCGGGGCAGAGTCTCCGGGAGCTAGCCAACAACGCCTACGCGCAACACATCACACGCCGACGAACAAGGCCAATCTTAATATTTAAATTAAATAATTTTGAATATTAGGCAATTTATGGTAGGAGGTCCTAGGTCGTGATAGAAGATTTAAAACGTTGTCTTTATCAAGTTTACACACCCATACAATGTGATACATAAGCGTTTAATCAATAATCATGATAGTTAAGACGAAATTATTTCAAATACCTACATTAATATAGTACTTATATATTTACTTATTATAATGATATAATATTTATTTACAATAAATAACTTTAAAACCATAATAATCAAACAGTCCCACTCTCGTCGTCGTGCCAATCCCAGCAAGCCTTCTTAGCACTATATGCTAAGAACGCTTGCTGGGATTTCTCGCTCAATGGCCATGCCTATTCCCTAAGGGCGAGAAAAAAGCCCTCTTGTAAATAAATAGATAGATAGATAGAAAATTTAAATTTCAAAACAATGTGGTACAAAGGCGAACTTAATGCCGAAAAGGCATTCTCTGCCAGCCAACCTTTGATAGTGTAGTAAGAGCTATGGGTAGAGTCTACGACTCGACGAAAAAAAAATCTACTTTATTTAATTATAGTTTTTTTTTGAAGGGCCATAACGGATGATTATTTTTACTTATTTAGTTTTATCAGTTATAAAACAAAGTGTTCTTATGGTGCTCAACATTTTTTATATAAGTGGATATATATAAGTGCCCTGGAGGCACATTCTTTTCAAATAGATAATATGATTCTTTATTTATGTAAAAAATTACGATCAGTCAAACAGAAAACATGTCTAACTTAAGATCACAAGACTTGTGATGTGTGTTGCTGTGCATAATTTTGAGAATTATTGTACTTACAACGAATGCCACAAGAATATATATATATTTTTATAGAATTAGGGTGACAAACGAGCACACAGTCCACCTGATGGTAAGTGGTTACTGTGGCCCATAGACATCTACATCTATCCTCGATTACGAGTCAAAATGCAGATGCGTTGTCATCCGTGAGACTGCCTCGTTTCCAGTAAAAACGGTCTCGCTTCTCTACACTCACCATACGAAACACAGCAGCTTTAAGCTGCTATTTTACGCTGGTATTCTGTGAGAGCGTGGTTCTTCCCCGGTCGAGTCGACACATTCGTGCTACAACTATACCAGTAATATAGCTGCAGTATGGCTCTACCACGTTTGAAACGTGGTAGAGCCATGCTAAAATATATTAATTTAGAAATAAATACATATTTAAAATAATAAATAGTAGATCAGTTAATTAAATTATGTAATTATTATGAGGGAATTAAAAACCCACGTCGGGAATTATACTTAATTGAAAAAAAGTACAATAATTTTATTTATTGTACAACGGAGTGAAATATTTCAACGATGTAAACATTTTTGTGTAACAGGAGTTAATGAAGTTATACCTGGTTGACTTTGTACTATCGTTACAAATTAGAATACTATATACTATACTACTAAAATACTATACAAAAGCAGGAGTGCAAAACATTTTATTTCAAAGTTAAGTGCAAACAATTTTATTGAAAAGTGGTTTCATTTATTTATTTGACATAACCTTAATAAAATTATTATTGTTATTACACGTGCTGTTCCCCAATTACCCTAAGTTAATGAAGTTGAAATTATTATAGTGAAATTTGCGAAGTGGTATTTAAATAGATTTAAATAAATTAAGCATAAATCGTAACTGTAACATCGTGTTTATTGTACTTTGTTTTTATTTTTACTTAACATGTTTATTGCATTGTACGTTTATTTACTATTTTTTTTTATTGTAACATACTAAAATCATCAAAGTGTGTCTTATAAAACCATCTTTAACTTCTGTGGAAATGGAATATAGGTAGGTACATACATTAAAAATTGTAATTGTTACCCAAAATAGTGGTATAATTTCAATATTTTGTGACAAATTTAAGGTTATATTAAGATAGTATATGCTGTTACTTTACCTCATAGAAAAGTAATCTTAGTACCTATTTTGTTTTAAAGAAAATCTGATAATATCGAATTGTCGATATGAAATAGGTTAACTTTTTGCAACTATTTAATTTTGTACTTAAAAGTCCCTTTTGTAACTTAATAAAGACTAATTTAACTTTTTTACTGCTAGAAATTATAGATATTCAATTTAAGTCTGCAATTCCTTTTAGGTAATGTACCTACCAAAAATTGTACTTCACAAATAACATAGAGTTAAATAAATTGTATTGTAAATTGTAATACTTGTGTATTTTGTTAAAAAATATATTTAATTTACGAAAGGTATTAGTATATGAAGAACTTATTAGTATATGCAGTGTCATAAGTAATTAACGCTATGGCGTCAATGATATTTATATATAAAAAAGGTAGATGCGTTACTACCACGCATAGACATAGAGAGAATGGACTGTGCGTTCCTTATTCAGTTGAGCAGTGAATACAGATCGAATAGTGCAATAGAGACAAAGCGAATGTGCAGCTAGTAGTAGTCTCTTTCTAGAATTCTGATTGGTCCACGTTAAATTCTGATTGGTCACTGGCATGCAGGAAGTGAACCAATTAGGCTTGCAGGAAAGAGACAGGTATCGGCCCACAGTCGCTTTGTCTCTTTCTAGAGAACCATTCTACAACACTATTGTGAGCCTCACAATCTAATATAATCTAAGTTTATGAGTACACCAAAAAAGAAGCGTCCGTAAAGTGATCAATTAGTCGCTTCCGCAATTGGCTAACAAATATAACACCATGATTACGTAAGCTTAAAGAAAGCTACGATAATAGACGTACCAGAACACGAAGAGCGTGAAAGAATGTAATGAAACATTAGTAAAACATTAAAATGTGTGTGTGCTGCCGCTGGGACGGCCGCGTTTGATACATTTTTTTCGGTGGTTTTATAGCCATAAAACGTACCTATAAAAATTTCATGATATAGTCTGTTCGCTAAGATACTGTCGGTACACCCAGAGTCGGTACACGCACTTATTATTTTGCTTTTATTTTATTATTTTAACTGTGTTTGTTAAATAAATCTTTTTCTAATTTAAGAATAAAATAGAAGACTTCTTTGTTCTTAATAAAATACGATTAAAAATAATGAACACAAGTTAGGTAGTAAAGAACATTTCACTAAATAAGCTAAATTAAACTTTATCACTACGCGCGAGTTCTGGTTTCTGGTGATGTTAGTGCCTTTAGTCAACGTGTCTGCGCTCAAGCTACGTTGTAGTGTTATGCTACTTACAAATCATTTTACATTATTTTAAATTCATTTTTCCATTCTGTTTCGATTTTCTGCATTCACCTCAAAACTGGATATTTTACATCACCTTTATTTCCATAGGATCCTGTAACGATTTTAAACCATAAGAACTCAATAACAAATCATTTTTACTTCGTATTTTCACACTATCAGCACTTTTAAATTGGTGTCAATGGAGTCTACCTTTTTCGATCTTTTATTTAGTTTTCCGTAACTCTGCAATTTCGGGCTTTGTGCCCGCAGGTGCGCTACCTTTTTTCCTATATCAATAATATCTCATTTTTCACTTAAATCTTGCCGTTTTTCTATTACGAGCCTAAAACCAAAATTTGACATGTTTTGACATCGTTGTTTATCTGGTTGTCATGACAATTATATTCAAATTCGCTACCGGTCTGTTGTTTCTACTTCGATAATTCCACATAAATACTCTTTCCTCTTGGCCATTTACAAAAAATTTGCGTTTAATTTAAATAATTTTTCCGTTCTCTCTAAAAAAGTATAAAAGCCGAACAATCGGTCAAGAGTGTCAGTCTCGCTTCAGTTCTCGAATTCTAAGCATCTCCTAAAGGCCTTATCCCGGGGCCGCACTGCCCCGGGATCCCGCAAGCCTCTGTCCTGCCTGAAGCCGCTGGACCCTGCAAACCTCTGCTCTGCTTGAAGTCGCCAGATCCTACAAGCCTCTGCTCTGCCTGAAGTCGCCGGATCCTGCAAGCCTCTGTCCCGCCTGAAGTCGCCGGATCCCACAAGCCTCTGTCCTGCCTGAAGTCGCCGGATCCTGCAGGCCTCTGTCCTGTCTGAAGTCGCTGAGGATCCTGCGAGCCCCTGTCTTGCCTGAAGTCGCCGGATCTTGCAAACCACCACATTCACCTGAGGTCGTCGCCTAGAGACGCCCACGCCTTCTCACCTACGCTGTGCGTGCTCGTTCCTGGCGCTAAGAGCACTTGTTGTACACCTTGGATCTTCGGGCTCAGCTCCAACACTAATCTTTTTTTTATTATCTTTTTTTAAATATTTGTAAATCACGACGAAGAGATTCGCAATATGGCAGGTTTGAAAGATGACCTTATCACAAAAATTGATAAGGGCGTGCTTCGGTGGTTTAGGCACGTTGAGCGAATGAGTGAAGACCGAATGGTGAAGAAAATATATAGCGCGAAAGTTAATATTAAAAGGTGTCGAGGTAGACCGAGACTAACTTTCGAAGACCATGTGAGCAAATTGCTCGAGGAGGGTAGGGTCAAGAGTACTCGGATACCTAGACGTGCATGCATGAAGAAGATAATGAATCTGAAAGAAGCGAAAGAGGTTTGTAAGGATCGTGACACTTGGCGATCTGTTCTCTCTGGCTACCCCGTCAGGGATTGTGCGTGAAGATAAGTAAGTAAGTAAATCACGACATCCATCCTCATCTTCATACTCCATTTTGTTATATAAAATTATAAATATCTTTTAAATTTTAAATATATTATTTCTTTTTGTTCTATTTTTGTTGTTTTGTTGCTGTTAGGTTAAATTATTTTGTATTTAATTGTCGCTTCACGACATTTTGGCGCCCAACGTAAAAGTTCTCTTTCTCTTTTCTTCACCTTTACTACGCCTTGTCCATTCCCTTTTGATTTATTTGCTTTCTCTTTCGTTCTTAACTCTTTATTTATCCATCCTTTTCATAACTTCCAAATTCTAAAACAACACTTCATCTAGTGTTTCAACTTATCTAGATTATATTTATACCTACATTTAATACTTCACTTACATTCATCACTTTAATATTTTTATTCTAGATAACTTAAAGAG